CTCACTACAGTGATATATCCTGCAATAATAGTAATAGCAGAATTTACCTGGCACCTGTGGTTAGATGTCATCTTTCTTAAGAGAATTAAAAGACTATATTTTCCTCAGACCATTGGTGCTCAGGGCGTCATTTTTTTATTGCTTTCGAAGCCCTAAAGCCCTACATCTGGACCTTAATTCTATGCCAACTCCAAGAGGAGTGTAATAAGTCATGAGGTTTGCTTTGCAGAGTGCTGGGGCTTCCCTCGGGGCTGAATTATTCAGTGCTGCTGGAGTCATCGACTGCTTGCAGACCCCATGTCCAAACGTCTGAACGTGCATGTGTAGGGGCCAAGTAAATGGTTGGGAAGAGGTCTGAGCATCGGTGGGTGCAGTTACAAGTTATTAGTAAGAACTGAACTTGTTTTTCATGTTCTAAACTACATTAAGTGTTTCTCAATTGTAATTCTGGATGTAGGCACCAGATGGCTGTTAGCAATTAGGTGTAAAGAGAAGTTAAGAAAATGTTTTAAAGAGTGAAATTATTTGTCCACAGCCATGTAGCGGAGTCAGGAACCCATTTTCTCTGTGGTCTCTGTGTCCTGTCTCCTGAACCCAGCTCAGCTCTGGATCCTGCAGTCCCCTGAAGGCTGAAGCAGGATCTCTTTGTGCAGTTAGAAAGAAATGAAAGCAGTATGCAAAAGGGAAGGGAAGATTTGAGTAAGCCAAAGAAAAGGACTGATGCAGGAGAAAAATGAGCATGAACTAGCCAATGAAGAACTTTTGTCTGGAAATTAGAGGAAAGAGTTTAGGGACCAGCTCACAGTAAGGCTCTGGAATTATCTTCCAGTGGGAGTGGTCCGGGCAATAAATAAATTCCTCTGGCTAAGCAAGAGCTTGTGTCCTGGGGTGGCAACATGAAAGTGCAGGATATGTGAGCTGACAACCCTGATGGTCCTCTGTGATTCAGGGCTTCTGTGTTCCTGTGGATGAGTATTCTCAAAGCATTAGGTCCTTCAATATTGCAGCAGCCCAAGAGGCCTGTGAGCACAAAGAGTGTGTGTGCTGTGTGTCTGCATAGGCATATTTCTCACATATATGTATTTACATATACAGGTAGCTTTATGTGTATATATATACATACACACACACATATATAACAGGAGTACCTTCCTCAGAAGGGGCAGGTGATCTCATGAGTTAAATACTTTCAATTTACAGCAATGCTCAAGCTAAGGGGAGAGACTTGAAGTCTCCGTACTTCCTCAAGTGACTGTTCTTTCTGTTGTAATGTAACTCCCTATACACCACAGAAGGAAAATCGTTGCTACAATTCTGGTGCCTTTAAGCTATAAATCTACTTGTCCCTCAGAAAGGAGTTACCCTTAATGTGCATTTAATAATCTAATTCATTTTTAATTAATGTGGCACTGCCTTGCAAGAAACAGGAATATTCTTCCTCCTCCTGACTGCCCTTGGCTCTGCAGTATGGCTCAGAGGATGAAGGTGAGTGAGGTTCTGTGTCTGTGCATTGATTTGTAGGCTCGGGGACTGTCACCAGAGTGCCTCCAGGGACACCCCAGGGAGCCAGAGCTCTCAACAGCACAATGGCTGAGACCAGGCTGAAACGCATGAGGGAGTAAGTACCGTGTTTATGTGTTACCCATACTCAGACAAAGAGTCTGGATCTGAAAAACTGCACAACACAGCGAAGAAAACCATGTATTGCTTCCATCCAGCCCCAAAATTCCCTTCAGCAAAAAGAAGTGGACAGTGAGGTATTCTTTACAGCTTGGATTGCCTCCACAGAGGATGAAGGCTGACTGTCACTTCTGAGTGTTTTCTCATAATCTGCACATTCTTTACAAGAACGTAGAAGGAAGCCACAGATGTTCTTGAATATGGTAGGCAGGAGTCTTTGTTCTCCTCTTATTTTAAATAAAAAATGGCTCAGGGCTCAACCTATAGACAGCCTGATAGTGTTTATGATTCAATCACCTGCATTCTTCACTACATTCCCTGAATATTTTCCCTGACATCTTTCCAGTTCCCATTGCACACTCTTGTAGCATTTTTATTTGCTGTACTCTCAGTAAAAGTCATTATAAAATCAAAATGACAACAGTTTCTACTTTGTTATATCTGGTATCAGTACTCATTATAAAGTTTATAGCGGCAGAGATAACCTTTAGGGGAGCTAATTCAAGAAATGGAGATTTCTTATCAAAACTGCAGAAGATCCCAACATCAAAATGCTTAGCACTGAAATAGAATTTTTTGCAGAGAGAATCAACTCCACTTGAAAGGTAATCTTGAGCTTTTTCTCATTATGCTCCTTTCCAGCCTTGCATGTTAGCAGCGAGAAGTCAAGCAAATGCAATAAATCAGAGCTGTGTGACTCGTACTCCTCATATTGGGCTTTTAGGCTGAGAAATCATGTGAGATGCAGGAAATAGGAGGAGCTGTTTCTCACTACTTTCTGCTGCCCACAATCTCATTCTGCTGGTGGTTCCCATCCCTGCTGGTACTGGGTAACTGGGTGCCTGCCTCAGGCTGAGCTCTCATGTGCTGTCCAGAGCCAAAGCATCTTCACCAGAGACATGCAGTGTGGACAAACTAGTGACAGTTCCACTGGTGCTGCCCTAGACAGACTTTCCAACTATGCATCTCAGAGAGAGCCACACTGTTCTTCAGAAACAACTCCTCAAGCCAAAGCATTTATTTCCCTTGTCAGATCAAATTGTTATTGCACTTATTCCTTCTTTTTGTTCCCTGAGGTCCATGCAGCTTGTCAAAGTTGTCTTTACAAGGTGTCAGAAGCTTTGGCAGTACTTACTGCTGGAAAGATTGGTTTTTTCCCTAAGAAAATCCTGTAGAAGAGCCACTGTAGCAAATGCCAGCTTCTGAAAAACTTGGTAGACAAACTCAGATGCTTTCTTCATGCTTGGACTGACAACACTGATCACCTATAAGTGGCTAAGGAGGTCAAAATCTACGTTAAAAGAGACAGACTCGATTAACTGAAAAAGGTTTTCTTTTTCGTTCCAGCTTACTGTATCTTATTATGAGGCCCTTCTTTCCAAATTTTTCACTACCTCAGCCGCAATTTGACCATGATGAAGGGCCTTGCAGAAGCCTATGAAAAGTCTTGTGATGCATGCTTGACATCTTAAGTCTGTACAGGGTTTTAGCATCTAAAAGGGAAAAGTGAAAGTGAGGAGTAAGGCAAGTGTGTGCAGAGCTCTGTGGACAAGAGCGTGCCTTTTCAGGGTTGTGGTGGTGTTCACAGCTGCACCCCCTGTATTATGTAATACTGATGTCCCAGGGGTCCAGGGAGTGAAGGCTTCCCCTTGAAGCCTCTTCAGGACTGGAAGTCAAAATTCATTTCCTGGGCTTTGTAAAATCAGGATTTGTGTTTTACAGAGTAAGGCTAATTGCTGAGTAATGGAATAGTTATGGAATAGAATGTGTATCTTCTCTGAAAACAGAGAAATAAAAATGTAGGAAACGAAGAAAAAACCTTAGTACAGAGACTACTTGTGCTCCTTTATGGAGGTATGCATGAATATATGCAGTAAGTCATTTTAATAGCCGTAAACTTTAATATGCAGTTTAGAATTCGACAAAATGTATGTCAGGAAAAGGCTTTTATGCCCCAAATTTTAAGTAAATTAAAATCCTTTAGCACAGCAGTAAGTGCCTCTTAGTCAGCCCCTGAAGCCTTACGCCCGGCAGCATGCCGCGATCGGGCAAAAGACCTCATCATCACCTGCTGAGTGTAAGTAAAGCTGTCTTTCAGATGGCATGGAGAATAGGCATTTGGCGATATTTTTATTCTGTTCCTGTGAACTCTCACAACACTGCTGGTTTAGCCTCCTGAGCAGCATGCATATATGCTTGTGGTGCTGGTGACGTTGGCATCAAATGTGTCGCTTGTCTTTAAAATTCAGAAAGAAAGGTCATGCTGAAGTCATTGAAAAGGCATTGGATATTCTTTAAGATAAGTAGAACTGAAAATGCCCAAAGTATGGCAGACTTTTTGTATATTTATTTCTGCATGTCCTCATCCTGGTGCTTGTTTTGCACATTACTTGAATCTCAGGTGCAACGCTTAAAATAAAGTAAAAGATTTTGTCAATTTGCTTAGATATGTGAAGAAAATTCAGACTTTTTCAGCATCTCTACTGAGTTGCATGTCATAGATCTGTAAGACATTCTGTTATCCTGAGTTTTTAAGGATTTTTTTTAAGTGGGCACTAGTAGCACTAGAGACAGTTTTTATCCAGTTTGAAAATTGCATTCCAGTAGCAAAATGCATAAAATTGTAAGTATAGACTCACTCATTTTTAAATGTCAAGGAGCCTCAAACACTCAAAACGTTAGGAGAGTTAGACTAACACATCTTTTTGTTTCGCACAAAAAGCGTAATTTCTCTAGTTCCTTGTGCTGTGCATGCATAACGCGTGCAACGAGCTGCTCGGCTTTCTAGTGCCTCGCCTTGATTTCATCAGTGGTTTGCAAATGCAAGAACACTTTCACGTGGCATTAATTACTGTTTGCAGCGTGGAACCACTTTTCTGTAAATGTTTCCGCAAATGTTAATAGAAGTCTAATAGGAGTTATTCTTTTCTGCGGCATATTTTCAGGCGTTCAGATGTACAATCATTTGATTTTCAGAGAGATTTGAGATGGAGAAATAACCAAGGTCCTATTTTGAAAAGTGTTCCCCTATTAAATGTTTACTTTTTGGGGAAAAAAAAAATAAAAGGATGAGACCTCTATCTGTCTCTTTAAATGCCTAAATAGCTTTGAGAAGCTTCCCTTCTTTTGGTGAGGAGCCAGAAGAACATGAATGTATAAACCTTTCTAGGCCTTTCTGAAAATTTGCTGTCCATCGCTGGTAATTGCTTTTCTTTCTTCCTCTATAGCATGGGTCAGTCAGGGAACTGTGCGCCTCAGCCAAAACAGGAAATGCATTGTTTTACATCCAGTAGTAAAACCCAACAGAAGAACTAAAATCCCATTTCCTCTGCAAACTGTATTCTAAATTTGTGGCAGCTAAAATTCAGCTAGCAGCTCTAAATTCTAATTAATGTTTCTTCCAAGAGCAGGTGCCAGCTTCAATTCCTGTTTTACAAATTCACTTATCTCAGAAAATAAGACACATGGAGAATATTATCGGTGATATTTCTTCAGTTGTGTGTCTATAGCTTTTAATAATAGGATCCTTCTTAGCTCATGGGAAAACGTGTCCCAAATGTGCTTTAGATTTTGCAGATCTTTGAAGGAGGACATCAGAGAGTTTGCAATCAAATTGAGGTGCTTTGATTCAGGAATTATGAAGTAATTAAGAATGAGTTATGAAAATGATCATTGTATCTTCAAGTGCTTTAGTTCAGGAATTATGAAGTAGTTAAGGATGAATTATGAAAATTATCATTGTGTCTTCAGGTGGAGGAATTTTCATTCAGCAGTAATCTGATGAAAGTCAAAGTCCATTGAGGCTTGAAGGTGAAGTTAGGGGCTAATATTAGCAATTCAGATTTTCCTTTACTAGTTTTTATATAATAATTCTCTCAATTTCCTTTTTTTGTTTGTTTTTAAATTTTTTAAATGGACTTTGCAATACTTTTCACATTCCAAAGATGAAACAGCTGGCAAAACTAGAAAGGTATTGCCCTACCTTTAGAAATAAGTTCCTAAAAAATAAGTCATGGGACTTGCAACACGCCTCTCTGAGCAAATCTCAGAAGGGTTTTACAGAGCAAGAGAGAAGCTTTGTGGGAAATGCAGTTCTGAACCCAGAGCAGATTCTTTAAAGTTTCAGAGAAGTTCTGATCCCTCGTAGTCAGTAATGCCAACAGAGGACAGGAGATCACTTGAGAGGAAAGGGGCCCTTTGTGTCATGACAAAGATAAACCTGTTTGTGCACTGAGCCCTGAGATGCTGCAGTGGGTGTCCCAAGATTTTCTGGTACAGTTAGAAAACAATATTTTGTATGAGATCAAAGACAGGCATTTTCCTGACTCTTTTGCAGCATCATTTCAGGAGATAAATGTAACAATCTTTTCCACCAAGGTGCGTGTAACTGGTTAGTTGCAAAGTGGCACAGTCCTACTCAGTTTCACAGAGATGTAAGGTTAATAAAATAAGGCTTAGAAATAGCATGCTCAAGGACAAATTTGAGTTGGGTGTATGGATGGGAATCCCAAGTAATACTCAGGTTTGTGCCTTAGTTATCTGTCAAGGCAGGCAGTGACAAGCTGTTGAGAGAGATTAACCTGTCTGCTAACGCCCACGGAGGAGAGCAAACTGAAGCATTAATCTTGTTTTCTGGCTTTTGTCAGCAGTGCATAAAGGTAGGAGTATTGTAATTGATCTCCAGACCAGAAAGGAAATGTTAATATGTAGCTAGAAGCAGAATAGTCAAAATAAAGACCCATGGGATAATGGAAAATTCTTTGTTCACCCAGGAAAGGATTTACAGTTTCCTCAGCCAGTTGAGAACACAACATTATTATATTATGAAATTTTAGTAATTCTGCATTCATGCGTAGGAAATAGCTGCAAATCACCAGATAGCCCAATAAATTCACTTGGGCCCAGATCCACTGAATGACCTGGAGCATTTTTAGACACCCTGAGAATACAATAGTAGTTCCCAGGGCTCCTGTTCCGCTCCTCTCCAAGGCTGGCAGGGAGTCAGAGCAGTACGTGCCTGCGATTTTGCTGTGGTTCACATTGATGTTTGCCACAAATCAGAGATGTGCCATATGCTGTCTTTGATCCCACATCCCTGCCTGGGACAGAAAACATGTGACATGGTGGCAGACTCACATTAATGCAGCTCTGAAGTCCCAGCAGAGCCTGATGTCTTCTGTTGCAAAAGCAGGTTATAATTTTTGTTACCTACCCCTTCATTTTCAACCCACGAACATTTTTCCCCTAATTCTCTTGTATCAGCTCTTACACAGATTAGCTGATTTGCACGCTCTGTCAAGCTTAACCGAAAGATTCAAGCCTGTGGGTCACATTCATTAGCAGAAGCGATAATCCCAAGGTACACATTTGCTTGATTTTTCATCTTTAAATAGACAGGAGTGCCAAAAAATTAAACATACTTGTCTAAGAGGAAGAGAGGAGTCAGTGAAAGCATTGATCAAGTAGCAGTGATTTCAAAATAGCTTCTCACATATTGATTTTTTGCTGTTGGAGAGATATACTGTGGTATTTCTGATGAAGTTTCATGAAGAAATGTGTGTTATTTGCCAAACAACTCCCCACTTAGCTTTCTGTGGTTTCCAGTGTCTGAGAAAAAAAAAGCAGTTTCTCATTTGGGGAAGCAGGGCTGACTCCAGGCTGGCCTCCCAGCATTCAGTTTTGGCCCCTGGGTTAGAGCCGGGCACTGCCCTGCTGCTAGACCTTAACCCTGCATGTACTCAGCCTGAAATTTTGCAGTAGTCTGTATCACCTCCTACTGCCTCCTTTTTGTCTTTTACCACCAAATAAAGTTAAGGCATCAAATGTTTTAACATACTAGAGATACAATGTGCGTAACGCTTGAGAAATACATGAGAGCATTAGAATCTCAGATACCATTAATTTGTTCTGGTAGGACAGAAAAAGTTCTCAGAGAAACCTTGGTTAGATATGCTGAGAAGCCATGGTGAATTTCCTGAAAAAGGAATGATTGTCCCACTTAAATACTTTGAAATCCTAGCAAAAGGCAAGTAGGAGGCAAGACTGCTTACCACGACTTACTGAGCCAAAATAAGACATTTTTTAATGCAAATTGTAGATGTTCCTGCAAGGTGATTCCAATTACTTCCAGCTCACTTTCTAGCTAAGCAAAGGCATCATCACCCCTAAACTGTGTAAGTCTGACACTAAAAGACAATCATGTCTCAGCCGCTATGACATACAGAAGCTTAGTGAAAGTGAACGACACCACGCCTGTGGCAGATGTGCAGAGCAGTCAGTTTCTGGTGTGCTGAAAATTGCTCTGGTATTTTCATCAAAATATGATGAACTCATCAATGGATGGAAAATTTTATGTTGCTTGTGGCTTGTGATAGGCGAGTGTAAAAGTGTTTGCCTTTAGAAAAAGAAGTGCTGCTCGTTGTTGTCATGGGTTGGAGTCTGATGGGGTTTTTTGTAAAAAAAGCGGAGGTAGATTTGTGCGAAGCTTTGCGAGCCTCCCCCACCCCCAGGTGGGAGTTGGACTTTCCTCTAGCCGGGGCCAGGCCCATCAGTGCCTCCTCCATCAAGGTATTTAAGAGGCGACCCCATTGTTCTATCTCTCTCTTTTGGTTTTTTATTTTGAACTGTGTTTAGTGTTGGGGAGTTTTTCTGTTGGAGGAAGGGAAGGTGAGAGGAGAGCAAAGGAACTTCACCCTGAGAAGAAAGAGGGGGAGAAGAGTCCCTGAGAAGACAGAGAGGGAGAAGGCTGCCGGAGCAGGACCTTTCTCTGAAGGCCATGGTGGCTGAGGTGGCAGGAAGGTGACTGCCTGTCAGCGGAGGGGATCAACGGCAGTGAGAACGTCCAGGATGTGGCGGTATGTGCAGAGCCCCATGCGAGAGGTGAAGAGAGACCAAGCGTCAGCAGGGGACATGCTCAAAGTGATCTGTGGCCCCAAGGGACTCATGAGGAGGAAGAGGATGGCTTCCTGTGAGGTGGACACCATGCAGCATGAAGAGGAGGCTGCCAGGAGCCCTCTCTCTTGAGGAGCTGCCATGGACACTGATGGGGACTGCACCTCCCACCCCCTGCCCCCCTTGCACTGACCGGGGGGGAAAGGAGGTAGCTGGGGAAATGGGGGATGGGGGGGCGAAGTGAATTTAAGATCAGGTCGTATTTACCGAGGTATTCTTCTCGCTATCCTACATCGTAAATGGTGGTGATGAATTAAATCTGTTTTTCTCCCCAGCTTGCTCTGGTTCTTTACCTGTCATCTTAAATGGTAGATTATTACCCTCTCTATCCTTAATCTCAAACCCTTGAGCTTTTATAGTTGAATTGTCTTCTCCCTTCACACCACTGTAGAAATGAGAGCAGGGACAGTAGCGAGCTGGAGATCACGTAGTTCTTTGTGCCAGTCGGCTTGAACCACAACATCTTTATAATACATTTTATGCATAATATATATAAGAGTAACGTGGAGACCATGTGGTTCTTTGTCCCAGTCAACTTGAACCACAGCAGTTGTCTTGCAGTTTGCAAATGGATCTTCTTTATAAATGAAGCAGTCGTCCAAGTGGTTCAACTGGGCTGGCTGTGGGTGAAATGATGTGTCAGATTTGGTGTAAAGAGGAGCCTTGGTTTGTAAAATTTCCAGTGATCGTGCTTCCTGTGGCTTTGCCGTGGGCAGATTTTTCCTTCTCGGCTCTTCGTATCACAATCAATCACACAGAAATTTCCTGGGAAACTTTAGTTACTTGTACTGTCAGACAAGCAAGGTGCATCATTATATCATTCTAATCAAAGGTGGCTACAGCACTTGGAAAAAAACAGTACTAGTTATCGCCTGTATTAATATATAATGAGAATTAACTTTTATTTGACTTTTATGTATTATTTATCCCAGGTCTGCCATCGGGAAGCTGGGAGAGGATGTGTTTGAGGCTGTGTACAGCTGTCTGAAGCAGGCAAGGCAGCAGAATGCCAGTGAGGAGGAGATCAGGAGGCGCCTGGAGAAACTGGTTTCTAGAGCAAGCATCTGCTTTGAAGTGGATCAGCTTCTCTACTTTGAGGAGCAGCTACAGGCTGCAGAATCACATCTCCAGCTGTAAAAGGTGTGTCTAAAGTGCTGAGCTGCCTTCTTCAGCCAGTGAGCAAGGACAGGAAGTGTGGGAGCCACTGAAGGCAGCGTGTATGTAAGCGTGTGGGCAGCTCCATGAGGATCCAGACTGTGGAGAGAAGTGGGTAAACACAACTTGCAGGGACAGGAGGAAGAACAAACATTGGTGACAGTGGAGGGGGGGATTCACCATCACCAGAGTTCATTTCTTTGCCACATAAAGAAGATTGTTCTGGGCCACTGACAGGCATCACTCTGCTCAGGGCATCACAGCAAAGCTGCCTCTGATGGAAGCGGGGCAGGATGAGGTTCCAGCTGCTCTTGGTCCCTGTGCTCACTGCTCCTCCTGACATTCGAGCCTCTATTTCTTGTCCTTGGGCAGATTTACCCATGAATGCATATGTGTGTTTATGGCTACTCAGCCACTATTTGTCTTGTTACTGTTCATTTTTCAAAAGGGCTGCAGATAACTGTAAAAACACGTGCACAAGGGTATGTTTATATACACATACTCAGAGATAAGTCCATGTATCCGGAGAGGCAGAAAGCTGTCTGGCCACACGCTGTGCCTGTGTGGGTGTATAGGCACAGAGGTGTGAGGCCTGACCCAGAGCTGACTGTGTTAGATAGAAATCTTTACAGCGACTTCTCAGAGTTTTGGATCGAGTTTATAGTTCACAGATGGCACAATAAACTGATTTTTCTTGTCTTGCACATTGCTGTTAATGTTTTTTCTTAGTCTTTATGCTCTCTTCTTCATATGCGTCATACACTTGCTGATTTCAACTGTATGTCATGCTCTGGTTTTATGCCTGGTGTTTTCCTGCTACCTCTTCCTTCTTTATTCTTCACTCTGAGCTCCTTCATCCATCTGTGTAAAACACTAAAGGATAACAAAGTGGTACAATCTATAAAAGAATGTCAAATGAATGGACCAAATTAATTTTAGGCATGAAGCCATTATCATAACTTTGGTTTCCTCCTTTTGTGTCACAACTTTTAAAGGAGTTAGGGACTGAATTAAATAAATTAAAGAAATGTGCACCATTGTTATTTGTCCTGAGATGAGTTACTTACAGCTAAGGATACCAGTATTGATAAATTACTTAGAAGCGGAGGTTCTCAGTCAGGTTTCAGTCTCCTTCCTGTCATTTCCTCTTGTACTCACACTCCCCACCCATCTCACTGTTGCCTCTGGGCACCTGCTTCTGTCTTTGTTGCACACAACCTCATTTAAGACCGTTTAAAACCAGAAGTGACACAGTCCAAGATACAGGAGGAGTGCATGGGTGCTGCAGGGACTAAAAAGCTCACAAAGTAAACAATAGGTGACTAATTCATGGTAAGAATAATGTCATAGGGAGATAATCTCACTGATCTGCAGCTGCCTGTTACAGAAGTACCCAGGCAGTGGTGTACAAACAGCAAGAAATAACACCACCAAGGAAAAATGGCAAAGGGAACGGGAGAAGGTTATTCCCTTCTGCTAATTTACTGTCCCGTATAGTGATATATTTTCACATTTAGAATTTGCAGCCTCTCTTAGGGAGCTAGAGAATGTTATACCTCTGTATATGTATCCATGTAGGGA